TGTCACATTGTCAGGGGTTTCCCTGAAATAGAAGAAGGGATCTTCAGTGTGGTTCCCTGTGGCTGTGGTGTTTTGAGTGGTAACATCTGCAAGGTGCTGTGTTTTGCCTGCTGAGTCTTATGGCATGTAAGGTTGTGAGTGATGAATGTTTCACTGCACATGGGAAACAAGAAGGATCTTCCAGGGTTTTCCTGTGAAAGGGATCAGGACTTTGAGGTTAAAGGATGTAATTCATGAGCAGCAGTAGAGGAAGAACGGACATGTAGCTATTCTGTCCTTTCAAGGCCTTTCACAGGGGAGATATGTCCAGCAGAGCTGCTTACGGTCTTCTCCTGGACCTGAGCTGCTGGTACAAGTGATCAATTAAGGTTAAGTTTTTAAATGCTGGCGCTATTTTATATTTCACCTGTTGTGGTGGGTTGACCTCAGACAAAAGCCAGAACTCCTGTTAGCTGGGGATTTCACTGAGGCAGAGTGCACTGGGAAAAGCCAATCCCACCTCTAGGTCAGGCCAGCAGAGCAGTCCCACGGAGCAGGCAATGCTGTCCTTGCAGGCAGTGGGGCACAGGGCACACGCAGGGCTGCAGTGGGACGGGGTAGGGCATGGTTGCAGCTCAGCTTAATTTCTGATTATGGCAAATTCAAGATGTAAGTCTTGTCATGTTGAATAAGAACTTTCAGAGTCACAGAATCACAAATCATGCACTTTATTGTAGAAATACAAACTTGGCATTGCCACTAATGAATACACTCGCTGGATTAGCTCTAAAAATTATTTAAGGAAAAAAGAAGAAAATAAGGAAGAGCAATGGGTAACTCATTAGGCTCAACTTCACCACGAAGGGGCTCTGCCTGATGATCCATCACCCACCACCACCACACTCTCATGCCCACATTATTTCTTCACAACAGAGTGGCTTAGGCATCCTTCCTACCATGATGAGGTCCTAAATGACTTTGTTAGAAACAAAAATATATCTGCAAGCTTTATCTAACTTTAAATACTATAATAATATATTTAGCTCACAATAATTTAGCTTAATAGATATGAATGAAGTTTTCTTAACTTGAATGTTGAAGAGTGAACATGAGTATGATCTACACTGTCTGGAGAGCTGCATCAAAAACTAAATTACTTGTTTCTACAGTGGATGATCAACATTTTGCATGGGCTCCAGCTTTTATCACTATTTCATGATCCAATTTCATGATCCTATTTTATTAAAAACTCACACTTCACCCAGGAGAGAATCTTAATCAGTTCCTTTTCCAGCTTGGGATTGCTGAAAATCAGAATAAGAGAATGAGCACCTGGAAAAGCACACAAATACGTCAAGATAAGGAGTGTCATGATATTTTCTTTCTTTGTGCAAAAAATTATTGTCAAGACCAAACATACAAAGTTGATGCTGTACATCACTAAGAAGGAGAGGATAGATTTCATGGCTCTGATGTGGGCATCCATGCTGAGGTCCTTCATGGAGTTTGTCTGCATCCTGCACTTGTGTCTCCAGAGGGAAAAGAGAAGGCAAACAGCAGAAAATATGACTACCATGAATGAAGCTGAATATCCAAAGCCAGCGAGAAAAAGAGATAAGAAAAAATGTTTATCAGTTCTTATTCTTTCTTCCCAGAAATTTCCTTGGCTGGTGAAATTGTGATTTTCCCTCTGCACAGTTTCAATGAGGTGAGAGACAACCACGCCCATAGCCAAGGCTAAAATCTCTGACCCCAACAAGAGCCAGGGCACCATCCTGTCAATTTTTACTTTCAGGAAGATGAAGTAGCTGTTCCTGAAATTGGCAATTTTTATGCAATAGAAACCACAAAGACAGGCTGAGACCCACAAGTTAGAATAATTTAAGATGTTTCCAGAAGATTCAAGGACTTGACGTATGTTTTGATCATGAAGGAATTTGGGATAAATTATTAAAATGAAGTGGTATATCCATGAGAAGCATAAAATGGAAATCCTGGAGAATGCCAGCAGCAGCAAGATCTTCTCATTGGAGTTCAAGGTTTTCTTTTTGGCCCAGGCAATGCAAAGCACACAAACGATGAAAGCATTTATCCACATGCCAGCAAACACCTCCAGGGTGATGATCGCCACAGTTAAGACCCCATATGAAGTGGATGAAATAAGATGGATCTTCCAGGGCTTTCATGTGAAAGGGATCAGGACTTTCAGCTTAGAGGATGTAGTGCATGGGCAGCATCAGCGGAAGAAGGGATGTGTGGCTGTTCTGTCCTTTCAAGGCTTTCACAGGTGATATAGGGCCAGCAGAGCTGCTTATGATCTGCCTCTGAACATGAGCTGCAAGTAGAAGTGACCAGTTCAGGTAAATTTTGTAACTGCTGGCACTATTTTGTATTTCACCAGTTGTGATAGGTTGACCTCAGTGAGAAGCCAGAACTCCTGTGAGCTGGGTGTTTTACTGAAGCAGAGAGCATTGGGAAAAGCATTTGCTTTCTTTGTGCAAAAAATTATTGACAAGACCAAACATACAAAGTTGATGCTGTACATCACTAAGAAGGAGAGGACAGATTTCATGGCTCTGATGTGGGCATCCATGCTGAGGTCCTTCATGGAGTTTGTCTGCATCCTGCGCTTGTGTCTCCAGAGGGAAAAGAGAAGGCAAACAGCAGAAAAGATGACAACCATGAATGAAGCTGCATATCCAAATCCAGCAATAAAATAAGAGGAGAAAAAATGTTTATCTATCTTGATTCTTGCTTCCCAGAAATTTTCTTGGCTGGTGAAAGTGCAGTTTTCCCTTTGTACTGTTTCAATGAGGTCAGAGACAACCATGCCCATAGCCAAGGCTAAAATCTCTGACCCCAACAAGAGCCAGGGCACCATCCTGTCAATTTTTACTTTCAGGTAGATGAAGAAGCTGTTGCTGAAATTGGCAATTTTTATGCAGTAGAAACCACAAAGACAGGCTGAGACCCACAAGTTGGAATAATTAAAAAAGGTTTGAAGTGTTGCAATTAGTTGAAGTATGGTGTGAACATTAAGGAAATCAGGATAAAGTATTGAAAGGAAGTGGGATACCCATGTGAAACATAGATAGGAAATCCTGGAGCATCCCAGCAGCAGCAAGATCTTCTCATTGGAGTTCAAGGTTTTCTTTTTGACCCAGGCAATGCAAAGCACACAAACGATGAAAGCATTCATCCACATGCCAGCGAACGCCTCCACGGTGATGATGGCCACAGTTGTGGCCCCATATGAAGTGACATTGGATTGCTGTGGAGGGTGACAAGCTTCCATGGTGTGAGCTGTGGAGCAGAGCTGTGCTGGCCCAGGGGGCTGTGGCAGCAGAGGCTGAGGCAGGTCAGTGGCTGCTGTTGGTGGGGTGTCAGGGATGGCAAGAGGAGCTTTATAGAGCTGCTGCTGCTGCTGGGGGGAATTTGGTGGCGCTGCTGTGGGCAGCAGGGCAGGTGCAGGGATGTAAATGTGCTTGGTGTCCCCTTACCTGGGGCCAGAGTCACTCTTGACTATTTGAATGTTGGTTCAGGTGGGGCTGTGCTGGGTGCCACAAACAGCGGAGATGTTTTTGTGTGGTGGGGAGTGTTGTGATTTTGAGAGTGATCCCTGTTTGATCAGTGTCAGGCTTCAGGATCTGGCTTCTTCTCTCCCTTTATCAGCAGCGACGATCACTCAGAGTGGGGTTTGCCCTGAGGAAAGCATAGCCTGGGCAGTGAGATGAGTAATCATGTCAGGGAATCCTATTGTGAAAATCTTTCATATTGGTCTGGTCTACCCTTTGCATATTTTCCCTTTCTGCCCGTCATAGCTCAGTACAAGCTAAGAGGATGTGTTGGTTTTTTTCTAAGTAAAGTAGTTCCGGACTTTATCTTTGTTGCCATCTGATGGTAGACACTATTTTAAATTTTGAATTGTACATGGCTTAAACTAAATAGCAAATTTCTTATAATATCAGTTTTTATCTGTCCTGTATCTTGTTTTAGTGGTCCTGATCTCCAAGTTGACAACATTTGAGAATACATTATAACATGCGATAAAATTTTCCTGTGGTACCTGAACAATGCCTTGAATGTCCAAAAGCCTGTTTGTCTCACCAGTATCCGTTTATCTAGTAAAAGATTATCTCTGTATGACCTTTGCCAAAATTACTCCACTATAGGGTATTTTGCTAATTGCCTTCTGCTCTTTCATCTAGGCCAATATTTCTATATCGGCTCCTATTTTTAGTGTACACTTATTCATTTTTTCTATCTAGAATTATAGGTATTTATAATACTTTAAAAGCAGAGCAGCTGCTGTTGTTATCCTCTGCTGTGTATTTCATATCTGAATGCTTAAGTTGTTAACCTGGAGGCATTTGACAAGTTCAGCCTTTTGTTGATTTCAAGCCCTGCAGTGGTAAACAGACTTACCTAAAAATTGGGAAGGTGGATGGGTAATTTTTTTATTAAAAATGTGGTTGGTGCCACTTTGATATGACCTTTTTTTCCAGCTCAGGAGACACTTGTTTTTGTTCTTGCTTTTACGAAGGACATAAATTTCAAGCACATTTCTGTGTCCGAGTTTTTCTGTGTTACAGTGGAGTTAAAACCAATGCAAGCAGATTAACAAAAGGTATTATCTGCATTTAGTGACACCAGGTAGTGCCTGTGTCTAGGAATCCAGGGTGGATCTGCCCTTGGGTGTGGGAATACTGATGCACAGTAATTTTGGGCACTTCATGCAATGTGGAGTAAGAGACCAAAAGGCTGTAAGAGACCTGCTGTACTTCCCAGAGTGGAAGAGCAGCAGCTTTTCCCATCACCAAGTTTTTCACAGAACTGCAGCCAATGGAATAATGTGCATGCACTGCCCTCCAGAGAGGACAAAATGAAACTGGTGCTGGAGTCCCTCTGCTATGGAGACAGGCTGAGAGCTGGGGCTGTACAGCCTGGAGAAGAGAAGCTTCCAGGGAGACCTTAGAGCCTAGCTCAGTGCCTAAAAGGCATCCAAGAGACCCCCTATATATATATCTATGAAAACAAATGTATGCCTTCAGAATTACCTATCTTCAGACATCTGCTTTAGGTTCTTGAGTTATTTTAAAGTTAAGGGTACTAAAAACCAAGTGGTTTTCAGACAGCTCTGCTTTTGCTTCATTTTTTTTTTTGCTTTCTTTCTCACATCCATTGCAAAACATCTGGAAGTATGGCCTTGGTGCTGTGTTTGGACTCTCTTTGCTCGCCTGTGAAAGCAGCCTTGACATGCTGTATCTTGAGACATGCTTATTTTGCTAGTAGAATGTCCTGTTCAGGTTAGGTGTCAGCAACAATCCTTCTGAAAAGAAAGTGTTGAAGAACATTCATTTATGATAGGTGAAGGATTAGTGTTCTGAGGTCCTTCTTCTCTAAACAAGAAAAAAATCTCTGTACTTTTTCCTCTGCTATGTTATCTCTTATGAATAGATCCCTATTTTGATTTGTTTAAAGAAAAATATGTTGCTTAGCTTGAAGGACTGACTTCTTTCTAGGACAGGCCCATTTCCTACTCAAAACCTACTTACTCAAAGTCTCTGCCTTGTCCTGTGGGCAGTGGTGTCATGGCACAAGCCCTTTTCTACCTAATTGCTGAACATAGAAGTGAACATCCTCACATCCATGATTTGTAATTTCAGATGTGAAATGGAGGAGCATGATTCCATGCCTAAGATAAAGGCACTCAAGCACTCCAGGGCACCTGGGAGCTGTGGGGATACTGATGCACAGCAAACTAGAGATTTATAGAGCCCTTCCTGACCCATGTCACTGAGAAAGAAGATAGCAAGATTCAGGACAAGAGTTTGTGATCTCTGAAACCCACCTGAAAGGCCAAGGATTACTGCTCTAAGTGACTGCTCTGGAGGCAGAGAGTGGCAGGTTGTGCATGGAAAATTGGATTTGGGGTGGGATCAGCTGAAGAAAGACACTGTAGGGGATTCATAATCATATCTCTCTTACTTCTAATCTTTACAATGTGGTGTTAATTATTAATTGAAAGCAGCACTGGGCCAAATTGTAATGGCACTGGAGTGCTATAAACCTGGAATAATTCTGTTTAAGATTTAAGGCTTTTCTCCTGTGCAGTCAAGATGATAATGCTGACAGATAACAAACACAGGGGAAGGAGTCAGCAACTTTGAGCCAGAGGGAGAAGTTCTTATGTGAAGCCTGGGTGGGTCTTTCAGCAGCTGCACTGAAGACATGAAGTTACCACATTCCTCTCTGCAATGTTCCTCCACGTGGACTTAAGTAGCTGATAAGAGCAATGCCATCAGGTGCCATCCAGGAGGAAATCCAACTGTCATAACAATGTCTCAAAGGTGGAAAGTCTGATGCTCATTGGCTGATGCTCCATGGAAAGCTCAGCAACGTGCCCTATATAGTGCCAGAGATGAGAGGGACCAGCTTCTGTTCCCACTGCAAAAATGGGCTCCAGCATCTTCCCACTCAGCCTGATGCTTCTGCTGTGTTCTGTCTATGGTTCTCCAGTCTCTGTAAGTAAAACCTGATTTCTACAGGCTCCTATCAGTCCAGAGGCATCTCATACCTTATACTGGTTGTGTTCCATTCTCCTCCAGGTGGGACAGCACTGGAGTGAAGCTGGTAAGTGCTGTGTGAGCTGGTTTGAGTTTTGAAGCATTTCCTTCTGCTTGCTGTGAGCTGCCACATCCGAACACTTTATGTTTTGGCTGTCTTGCAGATGCTGGAGCTGGTGAGATATTCAAAGACATCCCCCAAATCAACTTGGGTGAGTTCACACCTAAATTCTCATGAGGCCTGAAGAGTTGTGAGCATAATGCTGAACTTTCAGTGTTGTAAAGGAGTCTGATGATCAGGTAGCTCATGGTAACAGGAGAATTAAAATCAAGTGAGCTCAGAACTCTCTGTGACTCTGAATATTTCCAGGACTGTAGCTCTGTGTGAACAAGGGATGCAGATACCTTTTGTTTCTGAATTTTGGACAGACCCATGGTGCTAAGGCAGAAAAACACTGTATGATTTGGAAGGACTCTGCAGTGCCAACTGAATTTTCTGTCCATCTCTATACGATTTTTATAAAGCTTTGCAAATATGGAAAACAACTTAGATGTTTATGGATCGCTGTCCCATTGTGTGACTCTTGTCACTGCCTGAGAGCAAGCAGAGCTCATCAAAGGTGACCACGGATAACTGTGCCACCACAAAGGCACTGCCAAGAAGACATTGCCATGAAGTAAATATTGAGTTGAAACTAGAAACTGCTGTTACTTTTATTATTACCTGTAACTCAGTGTATAGAGGCTGGTCCTTATTTATTTTCTGTAGATTCCCAAGGACATTAATTTTGTAAAAGAAGGTTCAATGTGGTTTATAAAATGAAATATTTTTGAAATTCATTGACACCATCTTTGATTAAATTCCATTTCAGCTGCTGGACTGGACCTCTTTCAGGGTGATATCTTGCTCCCTGTAAGTAATTAAAAGCTTTCTGTCACTTGTCCTTATTGTATTTTTACTACAAATCTCATCTCCCTACAGTAGATACATCACCAGCTGTTAATTCTCTTTTCAGAAAAATCAGCGAAATGCCTTAAGAAATGAGACCTACAGATGGAAGTTCCCCATTCCCTATATTCTGGGTGATGACCTAGGTAATGCAGATACTTTATTCAGATTTTATCTCCAATCCTTATTTGCACTGCAGTCACTGTGATTAAAAAATTGCCTTTTCCAGAACTGTTTCAAATGAAAAATGTTAAATTTCACTAATAACTAGTTATTGTAGTCTTTTTTATATCAAAATTGTTTTTCTTTCTTCTACAGCTAACACAGCAAACCACAATTTAATCAAATTCAATAATTTCTCTTTTCAATAATTTTTCCTTTGGTTCCACGTGTGTATCTGTACATATCTTATGTCTCAAAGATGAACAAACTGCAATGTATTAAAGGTTCTGTCCTTGTTTTCCAGACCTGAATGCCAAAGCGGTCATTCTCCAGGCATTTGAAATGTTCCGCCTGAAGTCCTGCATTGATTTCAAGCCATATGAAGGAGAAAGAACCTACATTTTCTTTAGCAAGCAAGAGGGGTAAGGATAATAGCAATTTCTGTTTAGTTTTGCCATGTAGATTCAGCTGGGAACTCATTCCATTTGACTTTAGCAGTCTAAAGGTTTGCTGTCAGCAGAGAAAAAGAGGCCACCAGGAAAATAAATCAGATTCTTAGACAAAAAGCTTGCAAGCAGCTGCTCCCTCTGCTGGCTGTTATTTGGAGGATGACTTCTGAAGGTGAATCCCAGCCTCACTGGGTTTTCATCAACTACTACCACTTTTCCATCCAGGGTTATTTTCCATTTTGATGAAGACCTCCATGTACATCCTTTTAACTTACCAAGAATGTGAATGTGAATAGGTAGAATTTAAGTAAATTTTTGGAAGACAGACAAAAAAAAAAAAAGAAAAAAAAGACAATAGAAAGACAATCTATTCTAATATTTGTATTGTTTTGACATGGCTCTTTAATGAATGGGCTCTCAAAATCTGAAAGTGTTTTATGCACAGAGATTCAAGACATCAAGAACTGAAAGGATTTATTTCCTACATCTATGTTTTGAAAGAAAATGTAGA